TCGTGTGTACAGACCTCACTGCGTTCGGTCTGTACTCACAACCTCGGTCAAGATTCTCCCATACAGACCTCCAGCTCGGTTAATAAGAGCTAATTATAAGATTGCATCCAAATAGTATTTATAAGCCTAAAACTGTTAATATAATTTTGTACATGTTAAAAAAAATATTTCTAGTATACAATATTTCTTCCTGATTGGTGAAGATTCCCTTCCCTGAAAATAGGCCCACGAAAAAGTGCATTCGGAATACAAAAAGAGTAAAATCTGTATACAAGCCAAGAGGCCCATCAGGCAGGCGCTTATCTCCAGTTTCTGTAGCATGAAGTGACTAGGGGTATTTCTACTCCCCCCCCCCCCCTACAGGGGATGCTAGTTTATTGCAGGGTTACCCCCAGCATTACATTCGCAGGTACCCATTTATGCACCTGGGTGGAGAGAGGCACTGTGAGAGTAAAGTGTCTTGCCCAAGAATACAATGCAATGTCCCCGGCCAGGGCTCGAACCGGAGACAAGCACACTAACCATGAGCCCACCTCGCCTCCGCTAAGCATAGTTTAAATCAATTGAATTACCTCGTTTTGTTGTGTAACACTGTTTTGTTTGTATCACAGATGGAGAAGAACAGAAATCCACAAACTCGAATCCAAAAGAAGGCGCCAGAAAGAAAGTGAAGAAAGCAGATTAGAATGCACCTTGTATCTTTAAGTACAGCTTTTGTTAATTTTTTAGTTCTGATTCTATTTCGCTGATTATTTATTTGCCCATTGCAGTGCAAATGTTAATTGATAACCTAAGTAAGATCTAGGTATATAACCCTTGTGGGCGTTTCACTTCTTAAACTTTCTTTTAGTTAAAAATTGTTTAAACAGTTTCTACGAGCAGATATAGAATCTACAGGCAGTTAGAAGGATCTGATCAACTCAAAGAAAACGTTTAACAGCCGAATTCTTCCATGAAGAATTATGGATAGGTGTACGATAGCACTTAGAATAATTTTGATTTTAATACCAGGAGTAAAGGCGACATTCTCTCGCGCATCATTTTAAATTCTGATTTTATTCACTGCAGTTTTATTAGCGCGTGTTTTGATTGGCCAGAATTACTCTGGTTTTGGTTCGATTATTAATTCTTACTTACTAGGACACATTTATTTTTGAGCGGTTTTCATTTGAGTGTCGAAAAAGTAATTGGTTTTTCTACGCTTCATGATTGACTTAGAAAACTCGCCCCTTTTTAATCCAATCAGAAGTAATACCAAAACCAAACGTGACTCACTTGCACGCCTTTTCCCGGGCTTTGCGTCAGAAACGTGTCTTTACTTCGAGTTTTGATTGGTTTGTTGGGTTGTCTATGTCCTTTGTGATTGGCTAGAGTGATTACTTTGATTTTGATTTTACGACACTCAATTGAAAAAAAAAACATTTTTTTAAAGTTAGTTCTGATAATCTGGTGGAACATGATGACTCTATTAATCTAATATGACTCTATTTAATGGATAAATCTATTGTTGACCTCAATGTATGGTATACAATAATCTGATTGTTGTAATATTTCATGATGGTCCGAAGTAATGTAATTTCTTGAACGAATGTACTGCTTAGCAAAGTATGAGAAACAAAATGACCATTGATGAAGTTATGTTTAAATGAGACCTTTCCGATCATTTCTTAGACTTCGATTAGTCGCTCTTTCACTTAATCCGTCGAGCGAGACCGTAAATAAACCGCGAGGAAAAATGGCCGTGTGAAATCCTGGGGACGAGAAGCGCGCGATCGTGGCTTCTTGGCCCCAGGATTTCGCGCGGCCAATTTTTCACTTGCGGTTTTCTTTCGCGTCACGCAAGACGGACTAAGCGAAAGAGGGACTACTCATTGTCCACTGGAAGCCACGGTTGACTATCAGCAGACATGCATTCTGATTGGTGATACAGAGTTACAGAATCAATGTGCTGCTCTTACAACAGAGCTTTTTTTGAACATCATAAGGGTCTCTCCAGGAAAACGAAGTCTTTAAAATGCGATCCAAATTTCTGATTTAATTTTTTTTTGGACGTAAATTTCTCTGTCTGGTTATGGTTTCTTTTACTAATAGTTCACCCCGAGGAACTTAATTGTTGTTTTAAAGATTGCCGATAAAAAATAATAAAACAAGAAAGAATGAAAAGGGTCTGGGACTTACTGAGGAACCATTAACGAAGGTCTAGGAGGTTTAATTTTCCAAACTGTTTTACCAATCACTTGTATCAGTTTACACACCTGGTTTTTTTCAAGTGGTAACAGCTACTGTCATGCAAATCGCCGAGACATGCAAATAAATCGTTGAAAAGCTACCAGTAATTAAGCTGACGAGAAAAAGCGATTGATGTTTTTCCAATGAACCATCACGCGATATCGCTGCATACAAATGGTTTTCTTTCTAACAAGAAGACGGTACTTTTGAATATAAGTACAATTTGGCTATTGTTTCTAACGGTTTACCAAGCAACCGTTATATTTTTGCTATCTTCGCACCGAGCCGCCTTAGTCCTTGTGATGAAAGGCCTTGATATCTGAACGTTTTTCTCTTTGTCTCGCAGGTAATCATCGATACATGATTCATAACAATCTTTTGAAAATTGAAGACCAAAACCGAGTTCAGCGGAGCGTGTTGATTGCCAGGAACGCAGGCCAATTGTTCAGTAATACGTGTAATTGAAATTTTGAAATACTTTGAATTAATACATTGTCGTCAGTGGCAGAATAATGAACCAAGCACAAGTGGAAATGAAATGATCACGTCTAGATGAAATACCGCACTTGTTTCATCGGCTACTATTCGTCTCTCGGCGCACGAAAACTACGAGATTGTGAAATCTCTCTCATCTGTGGGATTTGAAGTGGACACGGCTTCAATGCTTGCAATCTGTATTTGCTCTGCCGCAATGGCTGGAATATTGTCCATGTTGGCGATGGTTGCTAATGGTGTTCTCCTTTATGTGATGTACAAAGACCCGCTACGCTGCTTTCGAAAGCCAATTTCAGTTTTAATCGCAGCACTGGCAGTGCAAGACTTCTTAACCGGTTGCGTTATAGGGACTTTACACATTCGCAACGAAATCTCTTGCAAAACAATTCAAGAAAGAACACCAGTGACTGGAAGCTTTGAAAGTGTCATTGGTTTATTTTCCATAAACAATGGCACTTTGCTTGTCATGGGCCTCTCGGTAGAACGCTTAATCGCCGTAACGCTGCCGTTTTATTACCGCGCCACGGCAAGCGGTAGAAAAACGCTGTTGTGCGCAGTTTGCATCGTAGCATATTCACTCGTATTTTGCCTGCTCCAGTTGACTGGCATTCCTGAGGGAATTTATTCCGTGTTGCAGCTTCATTTGAATATGACATTCCCACTGATCGCAGTGTTGATTTTTAACTTCGCCCTTCTCAGAGTGTTGCGTGGCTACAGAAAACGAGTTTGTTCCATGAGCTCGGACGCAAGTGACAGTTCCTTTTCCGCCGCCGCTGAGAAGAGAATCGACATCGACAAACAGTTTGCCTTTACTGCCATTTTAATAGTCCTGTTCCTTGTTTTATCACATTCGCCATATTACTTAATGACACTAATTGAGGCCCACTGTTCACATTGTAATGGGGAATGGCTCGTGGCATGTCGCCGCATTTCGCTACCTTTTCTGTTTATAAACGCCGCCTGTAACCCCTTTACGTACACGTTTCGCATTCCTCAATGTCGACGCTCGCTCAAAGTTCTGTTTCTCAGAAGGCAGGACACGGTGGAAGTTTCCCCAAGGAGTCCAAAAACTCCAAACTCCTTGCAAACTACTGCAGTGCTACGAAAGTGGTCCAAGGTTAGTGCCACAAATGGACAAGTCATTGAAACGTTCACAGATGAAAATCTGCCCGACGATTTTGGTATGGGCATTGATAATCCAACAGACGTTCTCGATATTGATTGTGAAGTGTGGGACACGAAACTTTAATAACGTGACCTCTGCAAAGATGTCCGAAGCTACAAAATCCGAGAAATAAATACACTCTTTTTTCTTTTTTCAGAAAACTGCTTTTCCGGCGCAGGCTAAATATTCTCATTTTTCTGCCGATTTTGGGCCGAAATATTCTTGTGAATATTGTTAGATTATAGTAATACAGAGTGGACTATGCCGATAAAATGTCAGATTATCTGTCCTATCAGTACATGGGATTGGCGATGGCGTTGAAGTTAAGTAATTTTGGATCCAATTTACAGGCAATAAAACCAGATATGACTGACACACATAACTTCTTACAGAAATGTTGTTAGCATCGAACATACGGCTAGTTTTTGATTTTTGTTTTTTTTTGGCTAGTTTTACCGTTTAGAGCTGAGAAAGGAAAAATCTTATACGGTATCGTTAAAAACACAGTAATGTTACATTTACAAATTTTCAACACAAAATTATATTCTTTTGACAATTCCAGCCTCGGGTTTATTCTTAAAATATTATTCTCAGTAAAATTTCGTAAATTTCAGCCTCGATATTCTGATAAAGCATATTCTTGTATAAAAAAAAGAGTGTACAGGGAATGCTTTCACAAGAAGATTGAAAACTGACGCACACCACGATGTAAACCGTGACAGTAAAGTGATCAAATCTCATTTCTCAAGAAGATGGGTGGTGAGAATAAGAAAAAAATCATTAACTTGAAGAGATCGTTTTGATGTACTACCAAATTCTCCGAACCAGTTTTAAAGAAATGCATAGCAATCTGCGATGAGAATTTAATATTTTGTCCATGGTACCCAAGCCTGCAATAATCGTGAGACAGTGCAGCAGAAAAACGTTTTTTTTTAAAAATGAAATTTGTAATATTTTTGATTACATATAAAAAACAACAAAAAACAAAAACAAAAAACAAAAAAAAAAACAAAAATGACAAACACAGAAAAAGTGTTGAAAATAAACCGTGTGGAGTTCAAAATCTCTAAAGTATCAGTCCAGTAGGACAGCTTATAGTACTGGGCAAAAACTAAAACGTTCTAGCTCGTGATTTACTGTCCCAAGGAATTTGAGCCATGTATTGAATGCTTTTTGTGCAATGCGGCTTTTAAACCTCATAATAGCGCTTTTGCCACGCACAAAATTTACAGTTTTTGAAAACCAATTTCTCCTCGAACATTACACCCAAAGAACCAAAACTTTCACTAATTACAAGTTTCACAAGCTCTTAAATGTTTGTGGTCAATTCGTGTCCAGCGTTTTGCCTTCTCTGCGCAAAGTCGTATGTAAATGAGGAAAAACGTAAACAAGACGTCATCAGAGATTATCCTACATCTTGGGAGTTTGTTTTTACATAGCCATCAGCTTTGTATGACTGAAAATGTATTTACTGACAGCATGGGTGAAACTTTTTCCTGGATGGATTTTTCCCCCTACAACTGTTGTATGCATGTATAACTTAAGCCTCATTTTCGGCCGCATATAAAAAAGAGGAAAAAATCCCGACCTTTTTACATGTAGAGAACTTTGTGTTTGGAAGACGCATAAAACAAACGAAATTCTTGCTCTTGTACAATGTATTTTTAGTCAATTTGGCGCCCACAAAATTATGAAACGAACCTCTTTCTTGAATATTTTTTGACGTCAACGGGCACATTTAACACGTAGTTTACGCCTGACAGGTATTGCCCGTCTTATTAGATTAGATAAGGGCTCGTACGCACTAGGAGAGTTTTTGTTTATTTTGTAAAAATATTTGTCATCACTTCCGTTCTACAAGTGCGTACGGTGTTTTCCTTCCCACCAAAATTGTGTAAAGCCTTACCAACCTTCAAAAGCGCCGTCGTCCTGCCTCGGAGCAGGGCAAATTTTTGTCAAGCGTCAAAACCAGCTGTCAGATTTTACAATTTGCAGGCTTTAATCTAATTGAAAATGTAAATCAAGTAAATTTGGTCGCGCTTTTTAGAGTCTATACATTCAACGTGATTGACACCTGTGGTTATCAAATATTTTAGTGTTTTCAAGTGCGTACGCGATTACCAAATTCAGAGTTTGGTGGAGACAAAATTTGTCGACATTTTGGCAGGGCCAAACAAATCTTGTCAACCTATGTCCGTACGGTACCTAAGGACAGTCAGTGGAGCATGTTTGATTTAATTTAGACTTAGCAGTTCGTGTCTGTAAGCATGAAGTAGCCAGCGATGTCAGCAAACGCATGTCGCATGCAAATTTCGTATCTGCTAAATCGGCAGTAGGTTTCACACTTTAAAGCCTTTTTTAAATTTTGTAAACAGTAGAGGAGAATTTTTACGACAGCGTACATCAGTGGCTTAGAAATACAGTGGCGAGGATTTAATACGTTAATTTTACTTTGATAATAATTCAAAGTTTGTATGAAATTTTTGCTGCATGGGAATATAAACTTACCTAACAAAAAATTTAAATCCACAGAAGTGTTTAAAATTTTTCAGTCTCTCACGATTTTATTCGTCTCATCTAGGCAAACAAATAACGTTCGCAGGAACATGCATTCGACTAAATACATGGTTGTCCGAACATGGCACACGGAATCATTGGTGCTGAAGCCTTCACACGCAGTTTGCCCTTTTTGTAAACGAATTAAATTGAATAACGATTTTTTGTTCAGTTAAGAATATCAACGACTTGGACTCCGAATCTTTTACTTAAAGCGATAATCATATCAAACCGTTTCACTTGTAAGTCTATTTACCTTCTGTTTCGCCTCGATCAACCCGCCATTTTGCTTTCACAGGTACCAGGCAAAATTGGTGCTTTATTGTAAAAGGCGTTGAAAATGACAGACTGCACATGCGCAGTCGCGCCAGAACATCGCCAACACATTCAATGACCCCGCGGTACGGATAATGAAATAGTTTTCTATTTTACGGCTTGACGTCCCAGCCTCAAACTTCGAGGCAATGGAAGGCTTATGGCCCTTAATTTCACGACGGACACCAAGCGACTAATCTGTCTGGCAGCATTACTAGGAATCTATCTTTTATCCGGCGCCGTTGTGTTCCAAGTGCTTGAAAACGAAAATGATAAGTTCGAGATACAGCAGTTGAATTCTGTGAAGAAATTGTTCTTGGAAAAGCACAATATGACACCGGACGATTTTGATTTCTTGGTGGAGAAGGTTGAAAATGCTGTGAAACACCGTTGTGGTGGCGACCCAGATCAATGGTGTACCTCCAGATGGACATACTACGCTTCAGTATATTTTACATGGAGTGTTGTTACAACTGTGGGTAAGGTCTCTGGCTTATTCACATGCCAGTCTTATATATAAAGAAATCTAAAGCTTGATACCGCACCTATTTAGGTAATAAGTGATTTTGTTATAGTTAGCCTTCTAGCGATAGCAAAATCAGTAAACATTAATTTATCTCATTCATTTATTGTCTTTGTTTGGTGAAAACATTTGTGAGCAGTGAAGCTTATCTGGAATGGTGGAATCCCGATTTTATTTGGGGGAAAAAAAATCAGCGTGTTTGATTGAGGGGATCTAGGAAACAACTTTTGGTTCGAGCTCTGGGAGGTTCGAAAAGTCAAGAGTTCGAGGAATCGTTATTCCAGTGTACTATATTGTGATTGTTTTTAAAATGGTTCGTTAAATATTATAATCAGTATGGCGACAGGGCGATTTTTGTTAACCTATGTTCTACTCGTCTTTTTATTTGTTTGTAAATCCATTTTATCTATTTTTGATTGAAATTCTAATGAGCGAAAATTTAGTAATAAATTCCACAATAAATATGAACGCTAAAAACGACGTTAATATTCATTGTGAAATTCGATATAAATATATTATTTTAGGTGGCCAGTCACACACCGTAGTGAACAAAATTCTCCCGCCAATGATTAGCGGATTCAAATATTCTGTTGTTATTGTAGAAATATAGCGTAATGCAAGCATGCTTTGAAAAAGAACAAGACTGTAAAGATCAAAGCTCAGCGAAAATTATTAACACATCAAGACTAAAAGTTTCATTTTCTTCTATCCTAAAACATTGAGTAAGCACAGATCACTGAAGTTGAATTACCGCTTGCATCGCGACCGAAAACTGTTGGCACGTTATACGGACATGTGCAGTTGTTCGGCTTTCAAGTTACTCGCTCGCATATCCATTGAATAAAAAAATAACTTCTCATAGTCCACATGACCAACTTTTGGATTTATTACGATAATTATACATTGTTGGACCCCGCTAAATCGAACGTTCCGTTATTTGAGACTCAAAAGCATTTGCCTTGGATTTAATCTTCGGTCATTAATTATCAGCTATTTCGAACTCTCCCACTATTTCGAGCTATTTCTCGTTTCCTCCGAGAGTTCGAAATATAATGGGGTTCAACTGTAACTATCCTTCAAATAACTGTTTGCTCGATCCCATTTCTCTCTCTTCTCTTCCACAGGCTATGGTCACTTGGCTCCCAGTACCGTTGGCGGCCGCGTGTTCTGTATGGTTTTCGCCTTATTTGGAATTCCTCTAAATCTCATGGTACTGCGACACATTGGGGACCGTGTCAATCATCTTATAAGCTACGTTCATTTTTTGGTAGAGACAAAACTGCTCAAGCGTGAACCACAGCAAGTAGCAACGAAAACTCTAATGTGGACATTGCTTGTTCTTATAGTTATGCTCTTTGTGGGAGCGTTTCTTTATTTGCAGAAAGAACAATGGAACTTTCTAGAAGGAGTATATTTTTGTTTTATCACCTTTTCTACAATCGGATTTGGAGACTTGGTACCGAACGGAGGTGAGGAGTACACAATTTATTTTTAACATTTCAATTATTTGGGAAATAAACTTAAGTGTCCAATGTATTTTGTACTGTTGTGTTAATTGGGGACACTGTAAATAAATAAACAAATATTGCAAAAAGAACATAAACTAAAGCTTTCGATTGCCAGATTGCAATCTGTGACAAATAGTAATTGGAAATCTATTAGTCAAAGATTGCAGATTGGCAAACGAAAGCTCTAGTAATTTTAAACTATTTTAACCAGAGAACGTTTTTGTAAATTTTGAACATGTCTTATCCTGGTTGCTCGTTCATTTTTAGAACATAAACTATTAAGAATCCCAAATGGTGGGAAGCTGACCATTTGGCTATTTACACAACGCGGCTTTTGTGGCTGTTGGCTTTAAGAAACGCTCCGCCAAGTGCAAAATCTAAGTCATATGGGTGGGGCGAGGCACTGTAAGAGTAAAGTGCCTTGTCCAAGAACACAACACAATGACCTAGCCCAGGGCTTGGTCCAGGACCGTTCGATCCGGAATCCAGTTCGCCATAACCAGTTTTAGGCCACAGCGACTTATATGGCCGTAATCAATGTTTATTTGCAAATTATATATCGCTGTCTTTCAATCTTCTTTATCAGGTCAAGCTCCCACTGATCCTGGAAACATCATAATGGAACTTCTGCGAGCTGTGGTTGTTCTTTTAGGAGTCTCTATGTTCTTCTCCATTATCACGTCAGTTTTAACTGCCTCAGAAGAACTCAGAGTCAATTTTCCATCTAGCAAATATCTGGGCGCCTCAGATAAACATACAGCGGACTCACCGGAGGGCATGCGCGAAGAAAAACGGAACGCAACTGAGGGCCCGGAGGCAAGGATAAATGTAGAAGATGTAGAAAGTGGAAGCATTAATATAGCTGGTGGGACAGCCAATGAAAATAAATCTAGTCAGGCCACGATTTCTACTCCTCTGGAAGAAAAAATTGTCGACGAAAAAGAACCAATTCAAAACGTGGAAGGAAACCGGTAGTCTGATAGCTGGTAACTAAGTCTTAAAATTAAATAATATTTTAAAATGAATTTCAGTTTTGAATCAAATTGAAGACAAATTTAACTAGCTTTTGCTCTAGGAACCAATACCGAAACAGAAGCAAGGGGCATCTTAAAAAAGTGTTAGCCCAGGCTGAGGAAAAGAAATACATGTTAATATCTAGGTAGTAAAAATTCACTGACCTTTTTCAAACCTATAGCTATCCTGATCAAAATCAGTGGAGTCAAACGATTTGTCCGAGCTGAACAGAAATTATTCAAAATTCCAGATATTTTATAATTCTTTTCAGCTTCTTCAGCAGCCTTGTTTCCATGCATTTCTATCTTTAAATGGTTAATTACAATATCTTTGCTTCACCTCCAAAGATAAATAAAATAATAATAATAGAAACGATTGAAATTGTTATAATTATAGGTTTGTATTTTTTAGCATCACAAAGCCAAATATTCGACGAAAACTAGCTATTACTCAAAGATTAGCCAGTGATTGTCATTTAAAGAATGCTTTATTTTTGATTAATGCCGCTCTTTAAATTTTGTACCTAATAAATTTCTAACTTTGCGATACGTTTCTCAGGTTTGTTCTTTCTCTCCTTTCCCTTTCTATTTTTGTTTTTCTTTTTCTTCCATAAACAAGCAAATAAAGAAACTTGGCCAATAATCCAGCCTTCTCAAGTTGACCTCACGCTGGGTCTATAACCCGCGCATACACCTGTGTGTCCCGAGAAAGGTGCTTTACGAGGCTCGAACATAATTTTTTGTGTGTATTTAAAAATTCAAAGGCTAGACCTGAGGCGGGAACCAGAAATCAGTACGTGAAGTCGGTATACGGACCAAGTGGCCCATAAGACCGGCGCTTATCTCCGGTCTCTGTAGCATGAAGCGACCGGGGGTATTTCTACTCCCCCCAGGATGAGATGTCAGTCCATCGGAGTTTAATCCCCCAGTGTTAAATTTACCGGTATCCATTTCCCATTAAGGCACTGTGAGAGTAGCCTATAGCTCGAACGCGGACCGCTTGATCCGGGGCGAGCGCACTAACCATGAGGCCACCGCGCGTCCAATAATCAGTAGAAGATTTCAAATTAAAACCTTCGACTGGTCTGCACAAGTAGAAACCCTTCTGGGCTTAGTTGTCTAAGGATGTATGAGCTATCCACCGCATAAATCAACTTAATTATACGGACACGACTGTCTTACTGGAAGATACACCACTTGTAAACTACATCCGAGACCCAAGAGGCGTATATCCTCACTAGCTAGTGAGGATATTGATGACGTCATTTCCCACATCTTCTGGGTTGTTTAAACTAATTATCAGTTTGTCCATATAGTAAAAAGAAAATTGTACGGTGGCTTTAAGTTACGAATTTTATTTTCTCGTATCAAGAACAATATTTAACCCCCTCGCTACACTCGTTGGTAAAATGTTGTTTTTGCTTTCGAAAATGAAATTCATATCTTCCTACCGCCGTATAACATCCTCCTTATCCAGGGGATAAATGTTCACACAACATTTTTAAAGCAATAGAGCACTTTTTCCGTGTTTGCTCAGCCTCATCTAAACACGCGAGGAGTTGGGAGAATTCGACACAGTTATGCAAACCCGAGACGCAGTCGAGGATTTACATAACTTTCGAGAATTCTGCCCCCCCCCCCCCCCGCCAAGTGTTTAGATGAGGCTATGTAAACACGGAAAAAGTGCTCTATTACTTTCATGAAATATTCCTCAAGAATACGCGCGAAACTAAAACGTCACAACCGTATTTACTTATTTTCATCTAAACACACCTATCGACCAATGAGCGCGCGAGTAGTATCTCAGTTATTTTATGAACTTAGCTTTATCCATCGTTTGAACAACCAAATTCAACATGTATGCTTGAATAAGTTGCTTCCGTTCTCCATTTTCCAATTCCTCGCAATTCACTCTGTTTGCCCCCAAATTTTGCATAAACTATTGTTGTAAAACTCTTGGGAATATGCAGACCTCCCAAGAGCATTTAAAAACATTTGTTTGTGGAACATTTGAGGGCCGGGATGGGCAAAGATTACTTGTTTAGCTGGACTATAAGGAAATTACGGTATGCTAATACCGAAAGCTACACGGAGCGACTCGAGACCTGACTAACGCTATTGGAAAAATTCCATTTTTTTAAAAATCATTATTGCTTTTAAAATGACTTTTCGTCAAATATTTTGTCGATTGATCCCGCTACTTGTCTACTACGCTACTTGGTTGTCTCAGTGGGCATGCAAACGATCATGACTTGTTTGAATGTGCCGGCTATTTTTATTTGACACTCGACACTGTGTACAAAGCAAATGCGAATTGCTATAAACAAAGACAGTTCAATCTTACACTATGGCCTGTTACTCAAACAAACCCTTGCATGTCCCCTAGTTGTTCTCATAGTAACCGAAAACAGTTGGGGCTCACTCCATGCAAAAGGCTTGTACCTGTTAGTTGCTGGTACATGAATAAAGACAAAGTTTATATGCACACTTAAACTGCAAGATTGTATGCTTTTTTCATTTCAACGTAGCATGTTCTGGTAATAACGTTTTACAGGACTAGAAACACGTGCAAAGTTTCGGTAAGGTTTACCTTTGCCTTGCATTGTCTTTAACTGTTAAGTGTGAAAGCGTTCATTTAACACCCGTAAAAATAGTTTTCGCATTTTTTCAGTTCTGTTCTTATTACCAGTTCTTCAGAATTGGCTTTTTTTTTTTTTTTTTTTTTTTTTTNTTAGTTTGCACAAACCGCTCAGTATTCTACATTTTGCCCAAATTCGTTTGTTATGAAAAAGAACTTGACTGGGGCGACCAAATCGAGGAATGTTTGGTCTTGTACCTGCTACCAGTAGACAAAAATGACAAATTTTCTGGTCTCTTAACTTCAGGGTCACAGACAGTTGTTCATCTTGAGTCTCAGTGCCAATCCCATTCGAAATATTGACACTATAACTGACCCTGGAAGATAACTTCATTTAACGTTTGTTAGCATGACTAAAGGTTAGTCCATTAAGGTATCGTTAAAGGTTGTTTACTCTTGTATTTTGCACGCGATCCTAAATGGCCCTTAACGCTTGAAAGAGCAACCTCGCTCGTTTTTAGAAGTAAGAAATTATCACAACTTAATACTATTTGATAGCACGCTTGACGCTTTATAAGTTCACCTCAATATTCCCTTTGTTCTAAAACACCTTTTTGAATCGATATTTCGTCAGGACTATGGATCACGTCATTTTATTTGAAAAGGAGATTAGCCAGCGTGTAATTTAACGGTCGGTTCTATAACAGTAAAATGCCGTGATTTGTTTGTCAACGGGAGCCTTTGATTGCGAACCATGGTGCCTTTGTTTTACCAACGACAAATTGAAACGAGAAATGACGAAAAAGGCAAGTACACTGACTAAAAAAAGATAGAAGGCGGAAAATTGAGGCGGAAAATGTCTAGAAATGCTCGGCGGTTCCTCGATTCTTCGCCTGGTGTGTTTGTTGTCGTTTCTGTGGCCACACGTAGCTTCGCTTTATAGAACAACATACATAGACAACTTCAAACGCGCGCAGGCTGGAGGGGGCTTGAGAAGAAATGCGTTTTATTCCAGTTCTCATCGCACGAATTACTCTTGGTTGTCGAAAATAAATCCAATGGCATTGTCGTATACCAGGAAAAACAAGTGGAGTCACTCCAACAGGGTAAGGTCGAAAAACATGATGGAGGTGTTAAATTTTGTTTTGTCATTGTTTCAATAAGTATTGTTTCCGGAAACAGGTAAACTATTGTTAGGAAGACCGCCTGCTTTCTGTTTGAGAACTTAACACAACTTCCCGTCTGAGCTAAGACTGTAGCTCTAAGTAACTGTGCAAAGTGTTTACTCCAGTGGTTATATTTGGAAAAATATCCGCATTTCTGTAATTAGAATAAACTTAAAAAAAGTTTTATCATGGCCAGCAAGCAAAACGTGATTTTGCCATTATGAAAAAACCGGTTTATTTTTAAGAAAATAAATGCGATATCTGTAAAAATGGCGCGTGTATAGGTCGTTAACTTTCCATTCTATGAATACATGGCCAGTAGAGATAGCAGAAGAATATTTTGAAACGCTTGTTAAGATTGTTTACAAGTTAATCTGTCAGGTTTCTTCTCGCGTGTCGTTGGGTTTTGACCTCATCGCTCGCGTTATAACCAACCTCTCATTGTTCAGGAAAAGTGGAATGTTCTAAGGATTTGAAGACTTGCTATACAAAAACGCGTGCATTCTATATCAACAAAATCAAACTGTAAGCATAGGCTATTGCTAACGGTTAGCAGTTGAACATACCAGTTCCTATGGATTTTTTGGCGCCAAAAAAACAATTGAAAATTCATTCTGGTTTGGAGAGTACATTGAAGTTGGCCCAAATTTCATTCGCCAATCGGCAAACCATGGTAATTTTTAACTTCATTCGCCGAAACTGGATTCTCAGTCAACGAAAACGCCAAAGCTCCAGTGGATAAATTGATTTGTTTAATTCCTGCTTTACTTCTGCTTTTGCGTTACTTTTTGTGGTTGCGTGACTAAAGAGTTGGAAGGTTAAAACAACGCGTGACCAGAAAACATCACAAAACATAGCACGACATTATCTCTTTATATCGGTTTTGCAGCGGCAAGACATTTACGATGGTTCTGATTTTGACTGGGAGGGCTTCCCAGTGGAAGACACCCCGACGTGGCCCCCAGACTACAACTCGTGGCCCCAAACAGCGACCCAGGCTCCTCCACAGGTACTACCAAAGTACCCACCATTAGTACCCACCCAGGCGCCTCTTCAGGGACCCTATCAAGTACCTCCTGTGGTACCCACCCAGATGAGTGTCCCAGTAGTGCCTCAAGTTTCTCCTTCGTTGACGGTTTCCCAGGCAAGACCTCCATTTTCAACATCGCAGTCACAAATCTGGCCATCTCGACTTAAACCTCAAAACGATATGAAGTTAGTACTAGAAGAATGTTATTTTAAGAGCTTGTTTTACACATGTGAGCTCCTCCATTCATAAAGACTTCGGCCTTAAAAAAAATGGCTGCAATTTTTCGTTCGATTTTGGACCATTCAAGATTTTGTACTTTAAAAACGTTAAAAACGACACAAGAAAAAGAAAACTAATTTTCAACCGTGTTCAGTTAAATCACTTTTAAACATGTTTACATGCTGGTATGAACTGGGCATTAGTGTTTTCATTTTAGTAAGCACGATGGCCTGGTTGTTTGCGCGTTGCGATCCGTTTGGATCATTCCTGGTTTGAGCTCTCCCCAGGTCATTATCACGGTGCCTAACGTACGGCACCGGCGATCCGCTACGGCGACCTAACGGATACATTGTATATTTATGACACAGGTTGCCTGTAATGCTTGAAGCACACAATGCATCAAGGGTATGCAGCCCAGGGCCACCTTTGAGTGTTAATCCGTTGTTCAGGAATTGTCTTGTCATTGGGGACTCCATCTCACTCGGGTAGATATAAATCCCTTGATATTTCACTTTTAATGCTGTCGAAAATCAGTCACTAGGAGAGTGCTAGGGTGTTTTAACTGTTACTTTAGAGGCTCAATCAGAATCTCTACTCCCAGCTAGCGCTGTCCTAGTTGATTAGACTTGGAAGAAATGAAGCAATCAGCAAACAAATTGACAAAGGCTCCTAATAATCCAATTTTTTCAGGAGCCAATGTTTCTCTTTTACACGTAATTGCTACGTTCACCTTTGCACTTCTCCAGTTACATTACCATTTTTATGATATTCAGGTTGTGACGCCTCGCCATTTTCGTTTTACTACTGACCCCAACCTTTCTCTTCTTTAGCTACCTGACAACCGTCAAGGGCGAACTAAAAGGATTGTGCCAGGTTCAACACGCGCCATTTGCTAAGGGGTCTGGGGCGGTGGATTCCAGATACGGTCTGCAATGCCTGTCAATGATGCTTCACACGACGGCACTGGAACCAACCAGTTATGACGCAGTTGTGTTCAATTTTGGAATGCATGACATTGACTACAGCAAATTGTTTCCGGAAGTAAGTTCAGTAGACGTTTTCTTGTTATTTCTTTGTTTGCCGTGTTTAAGTAATGTAGTCGGAGCAACTTTGATGCCACTCAAAATCGAGCTTATTTTTTGGCCATGTCATAACAACAACGCTTGGTTGTGAACTGAAAACGATCAGGTTTTGACCGTCTTCTTTCTTCTTTTGTAAAATTTTATGACTATTAACAAGCTGCTGATTGAAATATCTCCTCATTTTTATTAAGAGTCCCTGTCCATAAAAATGGAAAATAACTCGGCTAGGGTCGAAAATTCGATTTCGCTCATATTTTCATGGTAGATAGGCTAGGGCATGACAAAAACTACTGGATAGTTTTTTTGGCAAAATATCCTTT